GCCAATCCTCACCACCACCCCGTGGAAGCAAATTAGCTCTAGAACTCAGAGCTCGGGGAAAAAAAAGTGATTCGCAAAATGTCCTTTATCTCCTTGTTCAGTAAGGAGTCCTTGACTCTGAAAGAAGGTGGTGTCTGACATTGTTGAGTAATATGGAATAAATAATTTTCAGTAATATGGAATAAATAATTTTCCTGCTTAGATGCTGTGGTGGAAATCTAAGCAAGGGTATGGTCACGATGTTGACGTGTATAATGGTTAATAAAAAAGGCAGCGTGCTCTTTGTGTTTGGAACTGGAACATTGCTCAGGATTGCTCCCCCTGAATACAGAATAATGCACTCGAGTGAACTGATGACGTCAAAGCACAGGTGACAACAGTGAAGTGACTTGAGGCAGGACGTGGATTAGGAATGCTGAAAGGAAATTATGTGACCACAGTTAATACATTTCACTGGTTCCAAACCCTAGACTGTGAGGCTAGTGAAAATAATGAAGACACAGAGCAGACAATTTCTCTACTGAAATCTGAGCTACGTAAGATTTTCACCCTTCTGACCACAGGAATGACAGACATTTGAAAAACATGGTTGAACATTTAGGTAAAGCATGCTGAAAATCCACATCTGGTCAGCAGTCCAAACACTAACGTAAGTAACATATGGGTAGTGATTACTCTATAACATCTCCAATGGAGTTTGAACATTTACAGCTTCTGGGGACATGAGTTTCAAGTGTACAGGGAAGGTCGTATTTAATAAACTAATGTGAAGTGTAACAGAGTGAATTTTGAACATTTTAGTGAATTAGAATGCCTAATATTCTGATGTATATGGTAAGAGAACCATATCTGTGCAAACTACAGAACTTGTTTTAAGCACAGATGGGGCAATATATGCCCTGGCCATCTTTTTTGTAGCAGTCTACTTGCCTACTGACTTCGGGGCTCAGTAGGGAATGTGCTGACAAAAAACAATCCACAAAACTCAAGGTATAATTTTCACTGTATTTGGTTTCTTCCCTGTCTCCACCCTGTACTGCTATTACTGCACCTTTTTGTGTTCTTATTTTTGTTAGGGAGATTTGGTTGTAAGAGGTAGTTTTGCATTTTATATAAACATCCAGTTTAGTGGGAGATGTTGGACAGGATGCTCTTACCCTTAGAAAACTATTAAGTAACATTACTTTTCCCTACTATAATTTTTGTCAACTGACTGTGGACTCCAATGGTCTGGTGGAAAAGAAACACCTGTTTTGTGCCATCAAAAGCTGTATGGCTCCTTTTGGTACTGCTTTATTGACTTTACTTTGGCTGGCAGGATTGGGCTTTGAAACCCTGTGGAGCGGAGCAGTGGCTGGTGACAAGTACTCATCAGCAGAGATCTGATGGCTAGCAGATTTCCCTGCTCTCAGAGTCCACCTGCAATCTATTTATGACTCCAACAAATGTTTCTTCTGGTTTAGGCCAGTGGAAACCTCCTGGTCTCTATTTATAACCCAAACTTAACAACCTTCCCCAATTTACGCCCCCTTCTTTCTCCCATCTCCTCCTCCTCCTGAGCATAAAGGAAGAAAATCAGAACCTCATCCGTACTTGGTTAGCAGCATATCAAAACTTCTGCTTCCTATGTTCAGCATTGTTCTCGCTAAATCAAAGGCATAGCAGCAGCGTTCGTCATGTAATGAAAATATGTGGTATTTTCTTAATTGTCTTTGTTGTGGCACCACCGGTGGGCATTGTTTGGCATGGTCTTCCAGAGAGTCCTGTGGCTCTCACTGAGCTGCACCTGGGTTGGGTGAACAGCACCCTGCACCCCACTCCACAACTCCTCTCCAGGGATAAGGAGGAGCATCACAAAGGGATATTTATGCAGGTATTTAGTGGGGTCCAGCCAGCAGCAGAAATACATCAAAGGTAATTTTAGAGAAGGAACCTTTCTTTGCACTATGTCTTTTTATATTCTGAAAGGTCATTTGTGAACCAACTGTACCAAAAAAGGCCTTTCCCCAGAAGTTTACTGTTGTTATTTTTTACTTTTTGATTACAGTAACTTGCTTATCCCCCAAACAGACTAAAGAACAATAAACAAATACAAAAGGAAAAGGAACAGCTCATCAATAACAAAGACCTGCGTTTTAAAGCTTTGAGAGTACTGACTCTTACATCTCACTCCAAGCAAAGCAGGAGTCCTGCAGAGAAAGGAATCTAAAAGATATGAAAATTATAAAGATAGTAAAAACAATGTTTGGTAGGGATATTTTAGCTTGGTGTGGAGGACTGAGCTTTAAAGTGCAGCATACTGAGGAATGTGTTTTTCCCCCACTGCTGAATGTTGTGAAGCGCATAGGGAATTCTGTATTTCAACCCCTGTGAAATACTGTAACCTAGATGAATGCAGAAGGTCTGGCTTTCTCTTCAAGTTTAAATTTTGAAATTGGTCAGCTCAGGAGTGTTAATGTAGCTTAAAAAAGCTAAATGGCATCTAAACCTAATCCTTTGAAATCATATCAAAATAGTCTCTTGCAAGAGGCAAAAATACAGTCCACAAATATAACTTATTTCTGCATTCTTCCTTTTTTTATTTCTTTTTTTAAAAAAAATATTTTCAAACTCTTGAGTACAAAGAAGACACCAACCATGGATACTGAAACTGTGCAATTTGTTGTAATTATATTCCCCCCCATAGATTTAATGAAGGACTTTTAAGTACAATTTATCTTTGATAAATAGTCCCTCTACACAGAATGTTTATTAGATTGACAGCAGAATACACTCTGCAAGCTTTTTTTCCTTGCCACTTATGACTCAGATGAATTTTAATAGGAGTAAAAAGCTTTTATTTGCACAGTAATTTCACTTAAGGATCATATCCTTCAGAAACTGGCAGACACTTGTATGTCTTGATTGCAAAACAGACACTCAAGAGTAAAGAAACATGCATAAGATGTTATTATTTGACTTGTCACACTGCTGCAATTCTATTTGCAGCTTATGTCACCAATTCTCCTATGGGCATCGCCCGCCGTGTCCCTGCACACAGAGCGTGTGTCCATGTGTGCTTGCACACGTGCACCTGGAAAAGGGCTGGATCAGCCTGGAAAGGGGCTGTGATCAGCATGGAAAAGGGCTGTGATCAGCATGGAAAAGGGCTGTGATCAGCCTGGAAAAGGGCTGCGATCAGCCTGGAAAAGGGGCTGTGATCAGCCTGGAAAAGGGCTGCGATCAGCATGGAAAAGGGCTGTGATCAGCGTGGAAAAGGGCTGGATCAGCCTGGAAAAGGGCTGTGATCAGCGTGTAAAAGGGCGTGATCAGGCTGGACGCGGTGCCTTGAGCTGGGAGAGGGCTGGCTGTGCTTTGGGGTGGAAATCCTGAGTGGCACAGCCTCAATGGCCATGGTGATGCCTGCGGGAGGCTTGGGGTTAAAGCTGCTTTCTGCGTACAAAATGGTGCTGGTTTCCCTGTGCCACGGCAATTGAGACCGAGGCACATGGCTGGGAATGGTCCTCAAATTTTGGGATGCTACTTCCAGCTGCAGGGAGCATCGCTGTGGTGTTTCACTACACTTACTGGGCTGTGGTGGCAGGATCGGTTCATGTAACTGCCTCTGTTTCCAGGTAGAAGCGAGTATTTCTGAGTGACTGGCTACACTGTTCATCTCACAAAGTGTTGTGTGCCCACACACCATTTATGGAGGATGATAATCCTCTGTTACATTGTTTTAACTCAGCTTTGAAAGCTGCATTTTAAAGATGTCACTGCAGACTTAATCACCTTTTGCATGTATTTCTAAATGCCTTGTTCTGCTTCCGTAGGAAGCAGAAGGTAGAGTCCCCCTTTACCTTCACCAGAAGGATATCGGATTTTTTCTGTCCACGTAAAAATGAAAAGTAAAGACATTTTATTGTTAATAAAACAATAGCTAATTGTTTTGGAGGAAAACATACTGTTCCAAGCAAGGTGTTGAACTTTACATCAGCAAAATACGCATTTGAATTGTAAATGCCGTCCGTCGGATGCTTATTATTAAAACCTTTGTTTAAATTATTGATGAAGTGCGGTGCTGGCCTTCGCTCGGTGTGCCCTGGCGAGGCGCGAGTGTCGCACAGAGACCTGCTGCCATCTACTGGCTCCGTGCGCTCCCTCTCGGATGCCGTCCGTCCGTCCGTCGGTCCGTCTGTCTGTCTGAGGGCAGGGAGCTCGCCAAGTAACGGCAAGGTTTTAAAGACTAAAAGCTTTAAAATCACTTTAGGCAATACTTATATGCCTTCTGAAGGGTTTCGTTTAAAGGGATGCTCTCACCTGAGGGTCATCATATTCCCCTCTGATTTTAATCCATGTAAAACATACTAGAGAAAACAATACTTTCTCCAGATATGTAATGGCTGCTGAATGGGTTTTATTGCAGATAAAGCATATTCAATACAACAAGGTTTGGTTGTTCTGCTCATGCATGAAAAATCAGAATTGAAATGGAATTAATAGTCTTTAATTGCAAAATCTGAGCAAATTACTAACTTCAAACATTAAATACATGGTAAATGCTTAAAAGGTAAACATAATGTTTAGGATCAGTCATGGCATTGACAGTCTGTTAGACTTTCCCAAAAGCTCAATTTCCAATTCATCACTGCACTGGAAAAAAATCCCTCGATTTTCCTTATCCACCAAAGATAATGTGCAGCAAGCATAAGGGCATTTTTGTTTTAAAATTTGAATCTCCCCTCTCTACCCCCAGTTTTAAAATGACTCTGACATCTCCTTACTGTACTTGATTCTTTGGTTTTATGTGCACTTTGCTGCAGACTGGGGTTGCATATTTTTCTTTCTACATCCTGAAAATGAAACTCTGAATAAAGCTTTCAAACAGTGTTTTTTAGACACTCCCGTGAAGAACAGCTAACAAATGTATTACATAAAAACATGCCATAAAATAATGCAGGTTATTGACTGGAATTCACCAAGGTACAGTTTTCTGAACCAGTCCTCTTCCTATTCTTTAGTACAAATTGCAAATACTGACGAAGGTTGCTGCGGAGCTGAGCAAGTACATGCCAGAGAAAGCAGCAGAGGACACCTCCAGCATTTTGAGATCTCCCATGCCTGGAACAGTGGTGGCAGTTTCTGTCAAGCCTGGGGACATGGTAAGAAATGTGATCTATATATCTGCGTTTTCATTATATTTGCCACAGAAATTTCACCTTGGTGCAACTGAAACTACAGGTCACACCACGGGTTGGTGTGGGGTTTTTTGTTGTCTTGGTTTTGTTTCTTTTTTTTTTTTTTTAAAATCACCTGTGGAATAAAGTGTGCTAAAGGACGTGTGCTGTTTTTAGTTTGAATTTTAAAAATTAAGAAGGAAAATCAATTCAAATTAAACTGGCTTTAAAAGAAAAAAATCCAGCCTGGTACAAGTTCACAGCAGAAACTCAAAGAGATAGCTTGGTTTTGTATCCCAAATACCTCAATACCTTAAGGGGCAGGACAGGTTCAAGGGAGAAAATGGTGAGTAAATTCACATAAGTGTGTGTGTGTATCTATCTATCTATCTATCTATCTATCTATCTATCTATCTATCTATCTATCTATCTATCTATCGTCTATATATAAAAGCTGTTAATGCTAGCAGGAGAAAACTGTTGATTTTCTGCCCTGAAGTAATGAAAATATTACTTGAAAAAAAGGGGACATAGGAGAGATACTTACCTTTACAGGTTTTTGGGTTTTTTTCTTTTTTTTCTTTTTTTTTTCTTTTTTTTTTTTTTTTTTTCTTTTTTTTAAGAACTTCTGGGTTATCATTTCACAAAACACATGAGTTGGGAATTCTATTCTGGCAATTTCCAGGCTCATGTGGTAATCTTCTTGTCTTGGAGAAGGAATGAACTTTCCATACAGAAGGGTAAGGGATTATGCTGTTGCTGGGGGATTTCCAGTCCTCCTTACCTCACATTGAGTTGGAAACAAATTTTTGTTTTAAAGTTGTGTATAAACACTGACTTGAACTCAGCTTTATATGAAATTCTACCACATTGTATCATATGTTATTTCTAAGATTGAGGCCCTTATGTCTCATAACCACTGAAAACCAGGTAGTGAGAACAGACACAGAAGTATTTGAATCAGATTGTGCATATTAATTTTAAAGTACTGTCGTCAGTAAATGATGCTATATATGTAGCACTTAGGTACAAACAGAAGCTTCAGTCACAGGGTTCATAATTTATGGCAATGAAGCCTAGATTTTCTTGAAAGATGATTCAAAAATGGGATCAAGATCTGAATTTCAAAATCAGGATTGCACTTATTACGTGACAGTCATCGATCATGCTGGCAAAGTGGTATATTTGCTTACATTTTGCTATGATACCACCTTTGGTTTTAAAATATATGGTTATTTCTGTCTGTACAGTGAAAACAGAGTCATCATGTATAAGATATAAAAGATAATATAAAAGATATTATAAAAGATAAAAGACATAAGATATAAAAGATAATATAAAAGATCTTTTATAATATAAAAGATCTGTAGGTGCCAATGTTTGTAGTAATGAAATAAAGACATTTCAGAGGAAAAAGATCTAAGTTAAGCTGGTAAGAAATTAGAAATTCTTTTAGCTTCTACACTTAGCTTTCTTGTCTATGATCTATACATAAACGCACACAGTTTAGATACGTTAAAACAAAAGAACAGTATTCAATTAAAATATTCTTTATGTCATGACATGGACAGAGGAATCTGCTTTCTTTGTCAAGGGCAAAACAAGTGGCTGAATGAGGAAGATTGTAAGCAAATACTTTTTGTGAAGAATTAAGGGAAACATTTTTAAGTCAAGGATTTTAAGACTTTAAACATTTGTTTAATATTTATTTTTGAGAAGTTAATTCTAAATGTTTCCAGTCTTCTTGCCCTGAAGAATAGTTCTTGTTGTCTTGAAAGAATATAATCAGTGGAGAAGGAGGCCAGATCCTAAGGGATTTTAAGTAAATAAATAAATGAACCTCCCTCCACAAATCTACAAGTGGTGCTGTGCATCAGAGCACAAGTTGTTAAATAATGTGTGTGAGATTTCTTTTTTCCCTTCTCCTCTCCTGCAGCTTTTTGCTGGAGGCACTGAGTGGCAGAGCATTTGAACAGCATAATCTATGTTCTGCTGACCTGAGCTTGTCATTGCTAATTGTGTGGCTTTAATTGCAAAACACATTTGCGTTCTTGAAAAGGGTTTAGCTTAAATCCTTCCTTTTCAGGACTAGTGTCAAAACGTTAGAAAAAAAGCGAGGCAGCCAGTGAACGAGGGTAACATCAGCTCTGGGCTCTGAATAAGCAGTGGGATGGTGGGATTCAGATTACTCTTCCTGGCTGTCTGTCACAAACCAGCTCACCCACTACAGCTGCTGAAGGCATGATGGGCAGGGAACTGTAGCTCCTTGATAAATACAGCTCTTTTTGTTGCAGTGCTTGGGAAAAGTCTGATTTTTTAGTGCGCTGGAGAAATGGGAATTTAAGTAGCTCCTATTCTGTGTGCTTGCCACTGGGTTTGGCAGCTCAGATTTGCATGGTGTGTGAAAACAGCACAGCTGAAAAATGGGAGAAGGTGAGGTAGTTGTCCATCCTTCCCCTCAGGTGTTGCTGCTGCTAGCAATAAAGCTGTCAGGTTATAGCTGCTCTGAGGCTGCTTGGCCTGAGCTGTGAGCTGGGCACTACAGTGTTAGTGCAGCACAGTCCCTGTGCTCACAGAGATGCTCTCAGAGCCGTCAGGGGCACGGGGAGCTGAGCTGCCATCCCCCTCCTTCAGGTGCAACTTTACAAATGGTGAAAAAGCACCAAGAGAGGGTCACCTCACCCTCGTGTGCCTGGCCGTGCGCGCAAACCCGTGCTTATTGCCCACGGTTCAGCTCCAGGGCACCGCGCCCGGCCAGGTAAAGCACATGGTGTTGGTGTTTGTGTTTGTGTTTCTGCAGCCAAACGAGGGGGCAGTGCTGATCCCTGGGTTAGTGTTCCCCACTCGATGTGTCATTGTTTTTACTTGAAGCATAGTGTTCTCTTTCGGCTGCTGTTGCTGAGAAATACTTTGGTCTGGTGAAGCCTGATAGAAGATTGCATGAGCATCCTCTATCCAGCTGGTCTGATAAGCAGTTTTCAATTCATTTTTTGCCAAAAGATATTGCATATGCAAGGAATTTATTTTCTTTTGTCTGTAAGATGATCTGTAGATTTTAGTAACACAGTGGGGAAGTGCTGTTTGTCATTTAGAGAGAAGCAGAAACTTGTGATGCTGCCAATTTCTTTAGGTTTTTAGTTACTTTCTACTTTCTTTATTTTCCTTCATGTGATCAGAAGACTGTGATTAGTTGTCACTCAGTTATTCCTGGAAGCACATTGAAGGCACTCAGAAGCAGAAAGCAACATAAACAATGAAACAGAAATCTAGCTGACTAGAAAGAAGGTTAATATTATTTAGGGAAAGAAGATTTAAATTTAGATTACATTCCTCATAATGCAGTCCCATTAATATAGGAAATATATCCCTTATTGGGGAATGTTTGCATATTTGTTTTCTAAGTAGTTGTTTATGATTGTATGCATTAGGATGAAATTTGTACTTGGGAAAATTAATTACTTTTTGGTTCCTCATGGTGCCATAGGCCAGAGAAACTACTGGACTTCAAGAGTCCAGGCAAGTAATTCACTCTGTTTTCAATAACCCTGGTGGCAGCACAAGCCAGCCCTGGTAGCACACAGTAGGATTTTTATGCCAGAGGGTAGAGATGGCACTGCACATAGTTCTAATCTCACCATAGCTACCACAAAGACAGCACCATAAAAACTACTAAAGCTGCACAAATTCCTTTATTTACTCAGAGGGCAGGACTTGGGTGGGCACTTGAAAATACTTTTTCTTTGTGTTGAGTTGTTTGGTGTGGTTTTTGTGCATGTAGGATTCTGTGCACTGAAAGTGCAGGAGAGGGGAGAGCTCTTGAAGTCCTAATGGTTGCCCAGGTAAAGCAGTGTTGTTGCTCCTAAAGCAAACACACCAAAAATGTTCCCACTACTGATTTCAAATTTGGTAGTCTGAACTGTCCACAGCATCAAAGAAAGATCTTAGCTGTCCTGATTGCCTTGCAGCCTTTGCTATATTTTCACCTTTGAACATAGCTTTTGCTTTTTCAGTTTTCTGTCTGTCAGGAATATGAAGGTGTTTTTCTTTTAGCTGTATGTTTCTGTTGGTTGTTTTTCCTTTTTAGTGACATTAGCCAGGACAGGTGTTGTTAGTAAGCTGAACATTGGTCAATAAGTTAATGCCTAATACCTGTCAGCCTAAATCACTTTAATAATTCCCCCCACACTTAAATATGTAAAAGGAAAGCACCCTTGGGTGAACACCCCAATGCTACTGAGTCTTTGAGGACTACAGCCAAAAGAAGAGGACGATTAATTATTTTCACCAAAGTTTATAAATTGCTTCTCTTTCCAGTAGATTAAAATTACTCCACTTTTGTAAGTTATCACCATTCAAGCAATTTTTAAAATGTACTTTTCTCATATAAAAATTTCTTATGATTTCAGCTAGTATAGCTATGGGCATTAATACTGCATGGGATGAATTTTTTCCTACCAAAATGTCAGCTGTTAAATGTAGATGCTAATTGTCTCAGTAATTTCAAAATTGGGTAACTTGAAGGCTGCTTTTTTAGTTGTATAACTTAGGAAAGACACTACTGTGTTTCCACCTTTTAAAAGTAATTAAAGAAAAAAGTTTTAAACTGCATTCATCTTTCAGTTCAGCTGCATGCATTTTATTTCAATTCCTCTTGTTATTCTTTAGAAGAATAGTTTTTAAGAAAATCTTTATTCATGATTTTCCATCTCACAAGCCTTGGTAAGTTTTTGCTATGGGAAAATATGTTTTGTTTGATCTCTACTGCTGAAATGCTCACTACCAAAAAGCAAAACAAAAGAGCTTTCTAAATTCTGTTTGTCACTACTTCATTCATTCATGTGAAAGAAAAGGTAATGTTTTAACCTTACCTGTTGCCATCAGGCAGTTGTGTGTTGTTTAAAGTTGTATTTTCCATTCAGACCTCAAAATCATAAAAAAACCACCTCTTTTCAAATCTTATGCTAATTGGAATTTATAGCAGAGAA